GGCGGCCGAGTCAGGAAGCAGTCGGCCGGCGCATAAGCGGCGTCGGGCGCCGCAGTCGCGCGCTTGCACTCTCAGCGGTGAGCGGAGTTTGTAACGTGCGTAATAGCTCGAAAACGTCTTCTGGTCTGTTTTGTTTGGCCGTGTTCGCGTATACGGCCACCCGGTGTATATAATATTCCCCGTAACCCGTGTTTTGTGTCTCTGAACCTGCGAACAAAAAAGAAAAGAAGAAGTAACAATATAATTCAGCTAGAGAAGTGGATAGACAGAAACACGCGTATAGAGAGAAAAAGAGCCGTGCACACGCGAGACACGAACCAACGTCGCTCCCCTTTCACCGATACATAGAAAACCACGACCACACGGTGAATGTCGTCGACGGAGAGTGAAACGACGGCGAGAATAACATAGCGAAAAAAAAAAAAAGAAAAAAGTAAATATCGACGAGGTGGTGCGTCAAAGGGGAACACTCCCTTAATAGGCAGACGAAAACGACGCGCGGACGTGTGGTGGTTTTCGTCGAGGCGAGGCGAGGCCCACGATCCCGGTGCTCCTACATTTTCATCGTCTTCTAGGATTTCGTGCATCGTTTTCTCTTCCGTGGTGTATTTCACAGACTGATCCGGAAAATCAGTGACGTGTGACACACGTGTATTTGTAATAACGCAGTGCAAGTGTTTCTCGATTTGGCGCCTGTGCTCGAGGGGACCGTGTCGCTCGCTGGCCACCGTCGGTTCATCGTGTACACCTCGTTATGTGAGTAGTTATCATCCACGAAACTATATATCTTTTCGAGGATTATTTTATCAGTGAATTATTTTCTTACCGAATTACGAAGAATAGATAGGATTTGATTCGTCAATGGTCACTAAGTTCATCGTATATATTTCTTTACGCGTGTAATTATCGTACGGTATACACGTTTACATGCGATTTTATTTACCTTCTTTTTTTTCGCCGAGTTTGACGCCTCGCAACTTTGATACTTTAAACTGACTGCCTATATATCGTCCACTGTGAGTAATCGACGTACGTGAAACACGATTTTATTTCGATATTTCGTTCTTTCTTTCTTCCGTTTTACCGATAAACTTCGATGTAAGTTCGATGGAAACTTCATCGTGAATTATAATTATTCGAAGAAACAAAGACACGTACTTTCCTCCGCAGCATTTTACCGCTGAAATTCGATGCTTGAGTAGGTTAATACACTTATCGCGTGCACATCATTCCGATTAATCGTATCGTACATTGCCTCTTTATAGAATAACTTTTGGTTAGCAGTTACCATAGGCGGAAGAAGATTTTATTTACATTTCTCTTTCTCGATTATTTCCTCCGTGAAACATAATAGGCTACTATCCGCCTAGATAATCGTCATTATGCAAAAACACGATTCTCCTCGTTTTGTCCTTATTTTCCCCGTTATTTAATTGTTTGCGAAGTAAGACGCGTGAGGTGGTTTAATAACGATGTCGTGTATAGATGGCTGTTTATGGGACGCTGCACGGTTTTGTTTACGTCTGTCGCGGGGCAAAGTGAGGTAGGTTCGTGAACGAATGTGCGCGCGAGGTCAGATCGGGGACCGGCAGTGGGTCGGCAGTGTGTTGGTGCGCGCTCGCGCGCACCCTAACCGCGCTCTCTCCCTCGTCACGTTCAATTTATGCGCCGGGATAAACTTTGCTTTACTCCCTCCCAACCGGGATACCGTTCTTTCATTAATTCCATTTGATATTTATCTTTTGCATCTGAGGCACGGATGAATCGAAGATTAATCCATCATTTTACTTTCTATTAGATCCTTGATCAATTTTTCATTCACTACGAGTATACTCGTGTTTGCATACTTATTTATGCAATTTTTAAGATACGCAATTGGATAGGTTGTCATTCGTATTTGTTTACTTGGTTGAACAGTTTCTACTCTATTTTCATATCTATTTTCTTGGTTTGGTAGGTTAGTTACTAAGAGGTTATTTATCGTAATGGATCGAAGCAAAATTTTGCTTTTATTTTTCCAAAGCTTTGGCACACTAACGTGGCTATTATCATAGATTGTCTTGTTTGTTTTTTTTTCTTTTGCTACTTATACTCGATAGTATTTAATATTCAATAATATCGCCTGAGATTTATTTCTCTTTGTAAATGGCACGACCATTTTGCAGCTTAAAATTAAGTCCGAATTAGTCGTGAAACACGATACACGTACGTAATGTCGAGTAACGAAGTAGCAAATGCGTTACTCGCGATTTAAATCTCTAGATCGAAGGTTTCGAAGAGTTTCAAATTATGTGAAGATCCTCGCGAAAGGAATAAAACTGTACGCTTCAAAAACGAAGGTCGGACGACTCGCTAGCTCGATCTAGCTCTTCGCAAACGTTTCAAAATCTAACGACTTTTCACAAACTTACTATATACGCGTATTATACAGGGTGATTGGTAACTGATGGTACAAGCGGAAAGGGGGTGAATATAGAATAAAAAATATTTTTTTTCAATTTTTTTGTTAAATTTTTCCATCGGGACTACGATCTACAGCGAGATCCGTTATAAGGAGGCGTGATAAAGCGAAAATTCAAAGTGGATTTTCTCAAAAAACAAAGCCTCGAACGAAAAATTGTTATTCTATATTTTCGGCTTCTTTTTTCGCCTAGAATCATCCTCTTTTCGCTCGTACCACCAGTTACCAAGCACCCTGTATAAAAATTGTTATTGCACGTTCGTCATCTGTGGCAATGAATGAAACGAAAGTGGCTGGTTCGCGAGAGTAGAGTCGGATTCCGATTCACTTTCGATTCCTCCCGTAAATAGCGAGAGACGCGTGTACTCGCGACAAATATCGGCCGAGCGTATCGCGAGCCCACCTCTCTCGGAAATAGAATACGTTCTAAAAATATACGGCCCTATCTGCGACGAATAGTGCACAGGCGTCACTATACCGATGTAAACTATGACTGCGTCTACGTGCATAAAGCGAATTCTTTCGCGCGCGCACTGTGTCACCGCGAGACGGTGACACGCCGTATTACGCTGGTGTCATCCTGGCGCGCAATTTTCCCGTGGTCAGTGGCCAGTTGACTCGAGTAAACAAGCGTGTTAAGTGTGCAGAAAATTCTATGCTTTCGGTTGTGTATTCTGTGTGCAATATATTCAATTGTTATTAATGAAAATGTCAACGGAAGCATTGAAAACGAATAGTTTGAGATTTGGTGGAAATTTGGTTTTCGCAAATTTGCAAATTTGAACAAGCGATAGGTTTGAAATGTGCGAGCTTTGGCATTTCTCTGCGTGCAAGGTTACGGAGTTTCGTACGTGGAAAAGTTTCGAACTTTCCAGACTGCGAAATATTCGCTGGTCGAGTTTCCAAAATTCCAGATTTTTCAATTTCGTAAAACGCGCCAGGTTTCGAATTTCAGGAGCGCGGAATGCGAAAGTTTCGGCTTTCCAAAGCGTGAAATTCTCGGGTTTCGAAAATTGAAAATTTCCGAATCTCCATGCGCGCGCAGTTTCAAATTTCCGAATTTGCAAATATTCAAACATTTCGGTCTTCGGAATGTCAGATTTTTGAGTTCCTGAAATTCGTCAATTTTCTGCAGATATATTAGCTCGACTTCTATTCTTACAATTTCACAATGATTCATCAAACGGGAATAGTCAAAGAACTCGTAATTTATAATTGCAAATTCTTTTCCCGAAGAAACGTGTTTCTTGTACGACTTATACAACAGACTGCTTTAAGTCCCCGACAACTTGTAACTAGTGACTTGCAAAATTTCGTCAATAATATTATTTCAATCGATTCGTTCGATACTCTAACTGATCAACGTTCTATACGTCTTTCGATTTTACCACCACAACATAATGTTGATATTTAATTGCACGAAGAATTTAATTTACAAAATTCAACTTGCATATAATTTAATTATGCAACAACAGCTTTTGTCCATCTTCTAACGTAGACTTTCTCTTTCCATTGTAATTCCATTTCCTCGTATTTTTACGATTTCAGATAGTTTCTTATAAATTGTTCATTTAATCGAGAGAGTAACGATTTGCTTGGAAACGAGGAAGATGGATAACCCTGATTGGTCGTAGAGAGAACACGACACGGGCTTTCTGCGTGGAAGTGTCCCTCGCAACGTTCTTATTACAAATTCAAATTTAACGACTGGTCGCCGTCGCTTGGAAATTTAAATCTACAGATATCGTTACTGATTGGAACGAATCCGAGAGCAAGCTCTCTGGATTGAGAACGGTGGTTGACGCTTGTCGAACGGATGTTAGAATAGCGATTCGTCGATAAATGTTTTTAAGATCGAACCATCGATTTTTCAAACGATCGATATTTTTTAGGAAAATCTTGAATGTCCTCCTTAAAAGAATATCATTTCTGTAACGTATCGTTTGAAAATATAACGAAGTAAAATATAATTCTGAATTATTTTTTTTTTAAGTATAATTTAGGAAATTTTTTTTCTAGGGGATATAATTTTAAAAGGAGAAATTAGTCGCGCGATATTATGTTGAAAATGACAACGTGAGTTCGTGTTCGCCATCCATATGCAGATGCGTTAGTTATAAGAAATAGTAACTAGAGGATGATCCTAGTTACAATCGATAGATTTAATCGATAGGCTTAAGAAGCTTTTTGTTTTTATCTCTAGTTTTTTTGTAATCTCCAGTATTTTAGTATAGTCTAGGAAAATTATTTTTCTAGAGGATATAATTTTAAAAGGAGAAATTAATCGCGCGATATTATTTTATTTTTTGAATTACATATTGGTCGAGGCAAGGTAATCGATCTTTCGAATGTAAAGCAAGTTCCGTTCAAATCTATCGAATATTTAAGTTTTTGTTGAAATATATGTTCTCGTAGTAGATTTTTTATAGTAAATTTCGATCGCGGATCACTTTACGAAATCAAACTTTTGCGAGTCAGTTTTTCAACGTTAACAAATTTCATTTTGACATGAAAATCCAACTCTCTGTGAAAATAAATTTTCGCAATATATCTTTATAGTAAATTTCGATGGAATATCTGGCAACCACCGACAGGCTACGGTCCAGCGAAATTGCTTTGAGGTTCCGTCGCAATATTCGACAAAACATTGAATCTAACCTAAAAAAAAAAAAAAAAACCAAAAAAAAAAAAAAAAAAAAAAAAATCCAACATTTCGCAATGAAATTAGTGGAGCCATAGTTTCGCAAGCTTCCAATAACCATTCTCTTCGCTCAAATGATTGTCAAAATCCAGCACGGAATTTGCAATCTTTTCGAGGCTGATCTTTATCGATAAAACAGTACACAGTACAATAATACAGTCTCTGAACTGATATGTCCATTTAAAAAGGAATCGAAATCGTCGATATAAATGTTAATGTTAAACGTAGGTGAATTTCGTCATATTGCGTGGTATAGCTGAAGAATTATTCAGCTTTTGCGAAAGGAGATTCGTGAACGTGTTGCAATCGAAAATGGAACGGAGGATTGCGATCTTTCGCAGAAAATTTACCATTTGTTCGAGAATCGTATGGACGTTCTTTTCTCAGATAGTTACCAATGCCGAAGGGACGTGAATGTTTTTAGAAAAAGTAGCACGTTGTAGAATAACGAGAGAACGTGTTTTAGAAACGTTATGGAAAACCGTTCCAGTTGTCTTAAATCGCTTATCTTCGAATACGAAATTATCTCTCTTGTTCGTTACCTAATATTCTCAAACGCAGTGAAAACAGAAAACGTTCAAATTTAAATTGCAA